GTGCAATCAACCCAGTGACGTCAGGGTCATTTGTATTAGCGCACCAGTAAGTTAGATCGCGGGTAACCCTGTTGGCCGACTCGTTTGGATTGAGATGTAGGCCTTCGATGTTACCCATGCGTCCGGGGAACCAGTGATTGTATTCGATGTCCATGCTTTTGTAGTGTAAGCTACACTAGCCGCGGTTTAGCAGCTTCGCGTTACTTATCGAGAGCCGGGCTGCGCATGCCCGAGGAGCAGTGACGTCACACTGCGCACAGCTGGCACGCCGGAGAAGTCCTATAGAAGCTCCTGGAGTGACGTGCCAGTCCTGGTGGGCTGGCAATCAATTGACTCGCATGAGCTCACTCGCTAGTCTGTCTGTCACTCACGCTACGCATATCCTGGCATAGCCGAGCTAAGCCAGCGCTAATTCTCATTGTACTGACCCATCTGGCCGTCTTTGGAGCAACCGTTTCTCTGCTCAGTCGCGTTTATGGGCTATTTTCGTGCGATTATGTGACATAGTCCATCCTTTCTTTATATATATTTTCTGGTGGTTATCTGATTTTTTTTTGCGATTGTCTATTCAGAACGCAGCACGCGTAACTCTCGGTGGTGCCCCGCCACGGTGGTCTAGTGGCTAAGGTACTCGGCTGCTGACCCGCAAATCGTGGGATCAAATCCCGGCTGTGGCGGCTGCATTTCCGATGGAGGCGGAAATGTTGTAGGCCCGTGTGCTCAGATTTGGGTGCACGCTAAAGAACCCCAGGTGGTCGAAATTTCCGGAGCCCTCCACTACGGCGTCTCTCATAATCAAATGGTGGTTTTGGGACGTTAAACCCCACAAATCAATCAATTAACTCTCGGTGGTGGAGTTTCGCTGGCTCGATTTAGTGAATGAGCCCTGCGGCGACGCTGGCGTTCCAAAAGTGCAGAATCCTCGGGTAACGTCCCCACGCTTCTCCGAAGAATGACGAAAGATTCCTTTGTCATTCTTCGGAGAAATGCGGTGTCCGCTACACACTTGCAAGGAATTTTCGGCAATCTTTTTCGTGTGCAGTGGCTGATGATGATGAAGAATTAAGCCTGCAATGGGTATGTGCCACAGTTAATGGCCGATCAGGAGCAAGCTTTTGTAACTGGTTTGGGGCATTGGACGACCCACTCGTTACGCAATTCGAATTTGTGTGATGCCTGGTTGTTCCTTTGCTGGTCCAAAACGATATTACTCATACTAACGCGATTTCTTTCCCGACAACAAGCCTGCATATGCCTAAGGCAAGTTGGCAACGGAATTTCAAGCCCCGCCGTGGTTCTACGGTAGTATACTGGGCTGGCACGCCGAGAACCCGGGTTTGAATCCCGCTGTGTCCTTGGTGTTTTCTATTTCGTGCGATAATGGTTGAGGGCAACTACAGCGCCGCACGCCACCCTTTCGTGATCTCAAATAAGTTTTCGCTGTAAAACAAGAGCTGCGACCAAAAGATGTATGTTTACTTACGCGATCACATATACCCTCCCTTACCTTCACTTTAAGTTAGCAGAGGAGGAATCAATCAACACCCTCCTCCGCAGAGTTTACAAATACGCGCTAGGCATTGCAATCAATACCTCTAATGCGCTACTCCACCAGACAGGAGTCATAAATACTCTATGTGAAATCCGTGAAGCCCATTTAACAGCTCAATACGCAAGGCTCGCGGCCACTAGCGCAGGTCGCCACATTTTATCGTCTACCCGAATTAACTTCACCTCACTCACCAATGCTAAATACAACATTCCCCAAAACATACACAAAACAATTACTCATACCGCCCCTTCATAAAAACATGCATCCAACATATCACACTAAGCGTAGAATCCAAAGAGCAAGAGCTCTTCAGAAAAAATTGCATGGAACCAATGACGTGCTCTATGTCGATGCGGCAGAATACCCATCCTCCTCATCCTATGCCCTCTCTGCTGTCGACTATAACGGCAAGGCGCTCACAACGGCATTCGTCACTGTCAACTCTTCGGAGGAGGCAGAGGAGGCTGCCATCGCTTTAGGTCTATCCATCCCCAATATCACTATGATTGTAAGTGACTCCAAAACTGCCATACGCAACTTCAGCGCATTTCGCATCTCATCAACTGCCCTTTCAATTCTTAAGAGACACCCTCCCACGCAACACGTTGCTCTCATATGGACGCCCGCGCATGCGGGGTTGAGTGGCAACGAGGCGGCTCATACCTGTGCTCGAGGAATGACCAGCCGAGCGCAGGCCTCTGATGGCGTCTTAGACCACGCGGCCTTTTTCAGCGCGAGAGATCGTCTTTTGACCTTCCACGATATAACAAATCACTACCGCCTACAGCGCACTATATACCCCCCCCCCCCCTTACATCATGGAGCTTCGCGCTACCATGAAATACTATGGCGCCAGTTACAGACGCGTACATTTCCTACCCCATGTTTTCGCCATCTTATACACCCTGCAATATGCCCCTCCCCTTTGTGCATTTTCTGTCAACGAAGAGCTAACCTAGACCATATCATGTGGGGGTGTACTCGAAACCCACCACCCAATTCTCTACACTTTAATAGTAAGGAGCAGTGGGAGGCTTCTATGTGCAGCTCGGCGCCCGAGGTCCAGGACCAGATCTTGGATTGGGCCAAGAGGGTAGCGGAGACCTACGCTGGGTAGGCTCCTCTGACACTCCACCACCGCACCTTTCCCTCTTGGGATAAATAAAGTTTTTCTCCTCCTCCTTCCCCACCACCTTTTTTTAGGGGTGACGATCCTTAATGTGTGGGTCCACCTCGCAGCATATTCACGGAGTGAATGATGATGAGGGGGGCGAAGCTTCTGAGGGATTTATCGGCAAACCGCGAATCATCCGCATGCCGCGTCCGTCCGTTGTCTGACGCACGGACGAACGCAGGGACGGATGCATTGGCGGACTGACAGACGCTTAATTCGTCCCGCTCATCAGCACTCCCGTGGATATGGTGATTTTTTCATTGTGACATAAGCTTGCCCATACGGCATAACACTTTTATTGTGTAAGCGTATTAGATGTGTGTCGCATGACTGCTGTTGTGTACGAAGTGAAGCTGTGTCTTGCGAAATCAGTTGTCAAGTGATTCTACCACTGTTCTGAAGGCCAGCTTGCAATTGAATACAGGTGCGTTCCCAAAGCAACTCTTGATTCGTTATAACAGCAAACTACGTGTCCAGCACTAAATGCAGCTGGTGACTGTCGTGGCATGCGGACTTGCATAAGTATGCAGAAACAACCGTTATCAGTAATTGTAATGCTCAGTGTTAGACACGTGACCAGTGACACATGAAATTTAGTGCATTGTCAGTCACCTAGATTGTAAAATTTTTATTTATTTACAACATACTGCGGTCTTGAAAAGACCAAGCAGGAGAGGCACAAAAATTAAGTGGAAAACACACGCAAGCGTGATAGATGAATGATGTGCACAAAATACAAGAAGATAAGTACATTATACAGAGATATATAGATGAGCTTAAACACAGGTTAATACTACCTTCAGAACAACGGAGATGGGTCTATCTCCCTATTATACATTCACAATTGCGATAAACAGTAAAGCAAGTCGAGTACAGGCTACAATACAGACAATATGGCACGCTCAAAATGGCAAATAGACTGAGATGGGAAGACCACTTCATGCAGTGAATTCCATTCCGAAAATGCGTACACAACGAAAAGCGCGAAGTTCCCAGACCCCAGGGAAAGCCACAATAGCATTGAAAGTGGTATTACGTACAGCGTCACACAGGAATCATAACGTTTATTTCATCTGCCATAACACTTACCAACCAGTTTTACTGAGCCACCCAATTTCTAAGCTTATATATGAAATTATCCAGTCCGCATCTGACAAAAATTTCATGAGGCTGAAAAAGTATACGAGTTAACTATATACCTCTCGGGCAACAAGCTGTACCGAAGCTCCCTCTCTGGAATATCATTTCTACGATGTTTGTCAAATGTGGATAACTGGCATCGCCTTCCATGCACACAGCACGTTAAGTCAGCATTCACAAGCTCGTTCTTAGCATCTCACTTTGACCCAGCAGCAGTATGAGACTGGAAATAGGGCGCGCTTGGAAGTGAAAACGCACGTATACGCGACCCAACTAGGGCAATGATAAAGAAAAGAAAAATATAGCGGAGGCACTTAATCAGTCAGCATCGGTAAAGAGCGTGCCCCCCACGCACGCACCCCGCTGAACCCGCGAAAAGTCCTTCGGACTCTGACCCACGCGATGGTTGGGGACCGATCACGCCGATGGCAAAGCGGGCCCGCCACCACTTCTCCGTTTCAACCCGTAGTAACCAACCCAGTCGTGCCAGCACTTCAGTCCGGAGCATGCCGACACTTTTAATTCGCACCGCCGAATACCGTGTGGCCGTTCATCGAACGTCGCTAGCGCTTTTCCACCCACGCGGCGGCACATGCCGCCGCAGGCTACGTACGTCGTGCGTGCGCGCGTGCTAGGCATCGGGCGCGCCCGGGCAGCTCGCGTGCCCGACGCGCCCTCTCTGCATCCGGAGGAAAGCAAAAAAAAAAGGTAAAAAAGAATGACCGGCCGCGTGCGCTCATGGAGTTGGGGGTTGAAGAGAGCGCAGCCAGCGCCACGGGGGGGAGGGGGGTGATAGAAGCGAGCGGCTGCGGCGCGCCGACGCATTCACCAACAGACGCACGCACACTGGCGGCTGCGGCGGCAGCCTGTTTGCAGTGCAGCGGCACGTGTAGCAGCGGCGGCGGGCAGCCGGCAGATGTGGCTGTCCCCCACACCCCCCGGCGGCGCGAGCCGGGGCGAGGGCGAGCCGCGCTGCGATTGGCTGCGCGAGCGTGGGAACGCGGGTGCCGAGCGTGTCTCACACGGACGGCGCACGCCTGTTTGACCTCGGCCGCTCGATAAAGGTCTCCTCCGGTGGCATTTTCCCACACTGGCTGCGGGCACGTGCTACTCTCCGAGAGCGCCGGGTGCCTTTCTCGCTCTCCCCTTCCCAGCGCACGCTTCTTTCCTCCTCGCTCGGCAGCTTAGAAAAGGAGCGCCCTCGCGACGCTCGGGCTCATTGCCGTTGTAGAACGCGCGCTTGCCACATCGTCGTCGCCGTGAGCCGTACGTTCTCCGGCACGCTCTTGCTTTTGGCGACAACCAACTTCCTGGATTACTCTCGCGCGTCTCTACAACGCCGCTTCGTCGTGTGTTTTCTCAACTCGAGTGACAACCACGGCGCAAACCAGCAACATGCCTGCCGACAGGGCACCGAGCAAGGCCAGCGAACTGCGACGGGTAAGTTCCCGGTCCACTCATCTCTGAGGTTGCAACCCCTTGTTGGGGACTTATATTTTTTCAAGCGGTCAACCACTTCGATGTCGAAGCTGAATGTTACCGAGTCTGATACTGTAGCTTAGTATTACGCAGTTTAAATTAGTTTCGCTCACTGCCTTAAAACTTTCACAGCTAGTTAGTTTCACCGTTTTAGGATTACAGGAGCCGTTAACCCTAGTTTCTGATTTGGATATGCTACATGACGGTATGTCACGTTTGCCTCGACTGACCTTGTTCTCCGACGTTTTGTGTTTTGCAGAGTACCAAGCCCATCATGGAAAAACGTCGCAGGGCCCGCATAAACCACAGCCTGACTGAGCTGAAGAATCTCATCTTGGATGCACTTAAGAAAGATGTAAGTATCATGTCTGCAGATGCATTACAGCTGGTTCACTTTCTGAACCTTTTACGTCAAAAGTGACTATCAATAAATCTAACTCTCATCCCCATTAGTGCGTATCAAAGTTCATAAAAATGTCGCTGAACTTTGATTTCTCTACGCTACGTTGCGTAATCGTAAGTGGCATTGAAAGTCTTCGAAAGCCATGCTACTGCCCACTGCTGTGCAACTGCGCGGTTCGCTTCTTTCCGAAACCACCTTTCAGGACGCGCTGCTTTGAGTTAGCTCAGGCAGAAAAAGTAAATAAAAAAAAATCTAATGGTGGTGATGCCATCCTCTTCTTCCAACGGTCTTCCAATCCCACCCTCCCCCCCGTGGGGTTTGTTGGAATGTCCGAACATTCCCTCACCGTTCCCGTGTAGTTGTGAGGGAGCGAACGGGGGGAGGGTGGCGGGGTCTTCTGCGGCAAGTGAATACGTGCCTCCTCCTGGGGAGGGAGGGGGAGCGCTTTCCATTCACCGGTCGTACGTATCTCCCCTGCTCTGCTGCGAGAACCCGGCCCGTTTCCCACGGTCGCCAGCGCGCCAGATGGCGGGCGCGATGCTCGCTTCTTGTGTTTGTATCCCCCTCCCTGGTCCGCTTCTTCGTCTTGGTTGTCCCTCCCTCGTTTCCTGTTCGCCGCGGCGTTTTTTCTTGAACGGCCGTCCGGAAAGGAATTCGCTGGACGCGGCTGGCTCTGCTGGCACTAGCGTAGCACCGCGCATTATTACAACGACCCTGTCGTAGTAAGTCGCGCCAGTTGTAGCTGTGGCGTTCATTCCAAGTCTGGCTCACACTGCGCGCACCTTTAATCGTCTCTTGAGCGCACTGGGAGAAAGAAAAGCGTCTGGCGTGACACGCTCCGTGGTTTCATCATCGCCGTTCTTTCGCTCGTGGAAGCAGTGGGGGGAGTTTACTCATTCTCAGCGCCCCGTCGGCGCGTGCGCTGCTGGCAAGAGACGCGCGTGCGCTGAAAAGTGAAAGAAAAGAAATTTATTCACATTTTTTCTTTCCCTCTCGCGCTGTGCCCTTTCGCTATTCTCCTCAGCGCCGCAGCTTTGCTCTCTCCCTATTTCGCAGCTGTGCGCATCATACTCGCCGTTTCTCTTATTTCGTTTCCTCGGCGCTTTCGGCACGTGTGACCGTTGAAATTGCCGGGGCGCGCGCTTGGGAAACAGGATCGCCCTTGAACGCGACAGTAATCGCGACCTGCCACGTGTAGTATCTTCCTTTTTAAGCGCTGCACTATGGTTTTCCAAGACTTTCATGGTTGTTGGGGGTTAGAAGTTTTACACTTTGCATGCTTTTGTACGATGTCTTTCGACAAATGACAGTGGTGTCTTACGGTTACTTCTTTTTTTCGTATCTTCCAGAACGCTCGGCACTCTAAACTGGAAAAGGCCGACATCCTGGAAATGACGGTCAAGCACCTCCAGCAGTTGCAGAGGCAGCAGGCCGCGCGCTCTATCGTGTCCGACAATTCGGTGGCCGACAAGTTCCGCGCCGGCTACCGAGAGTGCGCCGCCGAAGTCGGTCGCTACCTGGGACGCCTCGACGGCGTGGACGGCGCCGTCCGTCAGCGAGTGATGGGTCACCTGGCCTCCAGGGTGTCCGAGCTGTCCACGCCTCCCCCGAGTCCCGGTAGCGAGGACGGCGGACACTTCTTTAACGCCTCCGCCGGAAGCGTTCAGCTGCTCCCCACCAGGTTACCCTCGGGCGAGATCGCCTTCTTGCTGCCCCAGCCGTCTCAACTGTCCGTCTACGCCCCGGTCTCCCCGCCGGCCACGCCAGGTCTGGCCACGACTGCCGCCTCCTCGGGTATTCTCAGCCCGGCCTGCAGCGAACGCTCAATGTCTTCTTCCTCTTTGTCTTCGCCTCCGAGCCCTGTCTCGCCGTCTTCGTGCTCGTCTTCCTCGACCTTCTCTCACCACCACCAAAGCTTCGGTGGCGTCTACATGCCAGCGACGCAAGCCGCTGTCAAAGTCGAAGATGAAGCCGTCTGGAGGCCCTGGTGAAACACGGGAAGCAGATTACGCACAACTGTTCAACGGTGTCGGCTTGGGTGTTCGGATGATTCCTTTTTTTTTTTTTCCGCTATACTACCATCTTGAAGTCATCCACCGTAGCATCTTACCAGTACACCGCGACAAATTGCATCATGATCTCCAAGGACAGTTCCTCTCCCCCTTCGTGTTTTTTTACACACGAAAACCACCACGTCGTCAATGTCCTTCGTTGGATCCATCCCAGAATTCTCCCGCAAGTGCCTTAAAAGAACTCTTGACCGTCTGCTAATACGTCACTGTGTTCAAGTTGTTACCGCTAGCGTCCATGGAAGCATCGCTGTCAGACGCGTTAAGTTATTTTAAAAACTACCACCTGTTATCGCGATGGAAATGGCACGTAAGGACTGATAAGGGCGGCATCTCGTTTTTCTTTGTTAATACTGTACATAGTTATCGGAGTCAGATTGTTTACTATAAAGTGCTCTTGTCAATTCATGCGCAGCATGTCTCATTATGTGAAACTGCTTTTGTCAACGTAGTTTTGTATTTCGACTGTGATATTTCGCTGCGAAAGGTTTTGGGCCGTCGGGCTGACGTGATGTGTTCGATCTGTTAACCTTTTTTTTTCGATCGCCCGATCGGTCTGCAGCTTCGCCACAAACCAACCCATCTTCAGCTATTCATTCGCAGCTTCTCGGAGTTTGTGAATATATTTATTTTCTTTTTCTTGTACAATTACGTTTGAAAAGAAAGATGAAAAAAAATTATCAAATTATCCTCGCTCGGTTGTTTGACGCCGTCGAGGTTGAATAAAAGAAATGCTGTTTCAAACATGACATGTGCCTCTTGACGTCATTTCGCTCGCATCTGCTCGTATGGAGCATCTACATATGTAGCATGTACAAAAAAAAAAAAATGCTCCATCGAGCTTGCATGTACCGATGTAGGGCAGTGACTCGATTGTACCTTCGTGCTTCGACTCACTCCCGACAAATAGCGCATGGAAAGAAGACAAAAAAAAGTGAATGCAGGGACCAGTTAAACTGGTAACAGTATAAAAACAAACAAAAACTCGTGGTTACTTCTCTTAAAGCCACTCGGTTATGTTGTTACTGTAGAGTAAAAGTTCGAAACAAGTAAGACTGCCTATTTGAAAAAATATTGTTGCAGTCGTTCTAATATGCACACAAGGGCATGCCTTCTGAATAATTGTTGGGGGGTGGCATGTCCCATAATCACGAAATGATTGATACCGTATTGGACTTCTTTGGAAATTTTGAACGTATGGTGCTCAACGTTCAACTAAGTCAAGCGAGGGTCTCTTAACATTTTTCCTCAATCGAAATGCGGCCACCGCGACGGGGGTCAATCCCGCGACCTGCAGGTCAGTAGTCTGACACTGTAAGCAAACCAGAGGACTGCACCATGCCATTCTTACTGTAGCTCGTGTGAGGTAACTATACCAGTGTCGCAATGCGTTACAAATCGGGAAGGCATGTCTGCAGACTATAGGTCCTCTATGAAGTACGATCTTCGTGGAGTGTCGGCCGCTCGCTGGCAAAATCAGTAGCCCTAAGAAACTGCGGCAGGAAGGTTAACTTACTGGTGTCCGTCTGGCGAAGTCCACACTGATCGCGCTCGGAGCAACAGTACTTCAATCGGAGCGTTCCGCCATTTGAGAAAAGGCTCTGAGCAGTGTAAAAAAAGAATGTAAGTACCACACACTCGCGAGCGGGATGAAGCGAATTCACGGGCGTCGCCCAGCAGGCGTCCTCACTGACCAGCCGTACCAGCACGTTGTTTTAAAAGGAGTTGTACCCCAGAACACCTACCGGTCGGTACTAAGAAAACCCCTTTCATATCTATGTAGCCTACACCAGACCAGCCCTACCCTTCCGTTTATTGCGCCTGGTTAACCTCCCTGCCTTCTCTTTTGTTGTTCTTCTCCAATGCCTAAGCTCTGGTTTGGAGTCACTGATATAAACCTCAGCGTCGCTCGCTATGAACCAAGCGCGGGGGGGGGGGGGGGCACGCTGTCGAAATCTGTGATGTCACATAGCGATGGTGCCGGACATGTCAACAAGGTGTCGTGATCTTTGTTTTGTTTTTAGTGTGTTTTGTTTGATGTTTACTAAGTCTCCACGGGCAGGAGGCGAAGCAGGAATTTGTGTCAGGACTCAGGAGAGATGGGGGAGGGGTTGTGTTTCTTCATTCGACGTGGGGTCTGGGAAGAGTGTCGTCGGCGGCGCAGACCGCATTCTGCTTTTTATTTAAAGGGTGGGCGCTGTTGTGACCGAGTGTCATTTTGTGCTCAGTATCCCACGGGCGAAACAAAATTTCAGGGGGAGGGGGCACAGCTTGGTGTGCCACCCTTAACTGCGCCAATGTAAAGCGGCGATAAAACCATGGTAATGAGAAAAGGAGCCCCCACTCTCTCCGATTATTACGATATGAGGTGGCATACTAGTACAGATAATGTTGATGCAGATGATGGCCGTGGTGGTGACGATATTTATCGACACCTTTTTGTAACCGGAGTGGAAGTGGGAGAGGGGAGTAGCATAATAGTTACGTAACTAGATTTTTCTTTCCTTTGATCAGGTATCGTTTCACCTGTTTTGCCATGCAGCCTCCCATCTTTTTATGCGCCTGTTTATTTTTTTTCTTTCTCGATATTCCGGCTGTGTGATTACCTTCACTGCTTCTAATTTTCGCCAATACTGCGAACGTCCCTTGCCTTACTTAAACTGATGACCAGTTCGTCTGCCTTGAAGCTCATATCCCGCGAAAGATGCACGCATTGCACTGTGTGTCTAGTAGCAGCCGACAAGATACCGCATCCTTTCGGGATTCAAAAGCATTTCCTCGGGTCAGATTTTAGTGTATGTGGCGGCATCTAGTGGCGTTTGCTTGAATCAAAGTGCACGTATCCTCGTTTGACGTTGCGTCTGACGTTTTTACACAAATAACAGAAGTCAACGTAGGCACACTCGTCAGAATTCGCTCAGAGAGCGGTAAGGTTTTTTTTTTTTGTATGTGATGGCTGGAAGCGCAATTTTTAACACCCATTAATGTTCCCTAGTGTGAGAATAGGCAGCTTATTTGGGTTTCAGTGCACCGATTCACGGTGCACTGGTCATAGTCGTGCGCACGAGAGGGGGGGGGGGGGGGGGGAGGAACCGACCCGTCACGAACGAACGAGTTGGGCGCAGTAAATCTTCGTCGCCCCCCCCCCCTCTCCCACCCCTAACCCTGCGCACGCTTATGCCCATTTGGGCATTTTTATTGCAACGTCCCGTAGTCTGCAGTGTGACGACGAATCACAGGATAAGTATTCGTAAATGTAATAAATTACATCGCTTATGACTCTTGTACACTTTTCTTAAATGTAATTAAGTTAAATAAGCAAACTAGAGCCAGTCGAAATTTACTACAGTAATGTACGATTACTTTTACAAGGTAGTGAAATTACTTTGAATTATACTCTATAACAAAATTTACCAAAAGCGATGTCAATCGCGCTTTCGAGTTCAGATGCTATACGCGGCTTTTGTGCGGGCTTGTCTCCAGGTAACTCGTGAGGTAAGGCCCTCAATAACTTGTCTTTGGTATTTCTCTTCCCTCTCGTGTAGTCAATTCTGTGAGCTACAGGGAGAGCGAGCTATATTTTACTCAAAAACAGTTTTGGGTGGTAATGAGTTTTTTTTCCTGAAGTTACTGTCCTGGTGTAATAATGCACTACATTACTGAATTTAACTTACTAATTTGACCGAGTTAACTGGCGGAACATGGGAGATGCCTTTGTCCTGCAGTGGACGTAGTCAGACTGATGATGATGATTGCTAAATTATCAGACGACCACAGGGATTTATTGAATTACTCATTAAAGCAAAAGGTAATTTTAATAACCCACCGTAGGGGTCTGGTAGTGTTCGACAGCCGTCTCGAAAGTTGAGCACCACGATTCCCAGGGCATGTGTGTAAAATCGCTAATCCCACCGCAATTGAGAGGGGAAGTGGCGTTCATCTAGAAAAGGCACAACGGGGGACGCATCTTTCCATGGCGGTCATTTCGTTATTAGAAATATAGGTCTTACTTACATAAAAATTAAAATCGTGCTTTGAAACTGAATTGAAAAAAAGACAAGCGTGGGTTCTCAGCTCGGGTAATCTTTCATTGTTCTATCGAGTCCTCTCTGAAATCGGTCGAGTGGCAGCTGCGCTTTTCAAGAGTGATAACGCAGCTGAGGGGTACTGAACACCGGTATCCATCGCAATGTAAACAAGCTGTTCAAAGAAAAAAAAACATTGATTGCGATATACGTAACCTGTCACGCACTTCAAAAATATGACGTTTGAAATATCAATTTAAAGGGAGGACACTTGCTAGAGGTGTTAAGGGAGTGATGAGCCTCAGGGGGGTTCAGGTCCCGCCCGGGAATCACGCCAGTGGAGAGGGGAGACATCCATATTTCTATACCGCATGGAGATGTTGAGTGAAGGATTCGAATTCGTTTCGACGAACATAGGACTCACAACTGAATTTGGTATAAAATAATAAATAAATAAACTGTGTTCTGTGGCGGCGCACGGTCAGTTTTAAGCGCGCGCGTTCAGGTGAACAGCCTGCAGGCTCTACTGCCGGCCTCGCCGGTAGTGTCGTATATCGCCGCTTGGATCCATCAGAGCGTATACGGGGCCATTTCTGCTTTATTTGAGCACGTGTGTCGGCATTGCGTACGGTGTACACAAAACGCACGCGCAAAAAGAGAGAGAGAGAGATTGTAAAAGAGGGCGTCAGCCCTTGTCCCGCTTTTACATCCTGTCGCGTAGCGCAGAACTGCTGCACATGACGCATACGTACTTCAAAGGAACGCTAATGGTAATGCAGCTGTGTTTACCACGCGGACACATTAATAACTGAGTCCCTCCAAAACCTAGATATCATCGACAACAACGCTCTAGCAACTGAGATAATAAAGCAAACATGTAGGACACTATAGTGGACTCTTGTTTATCAGAATTTCAGTTTGTTTTTTTTTTTTGCTTATTTTTGGGGATGGGGTTGTTGACGCAACGAAGCAAGGGCAACAAGCAGACCAGGACAAGCGCACAATTCGCTGTCATGTGGTGCGCATGCATTACATCGGGCAGAGATGCTTCCATGAACGCCTGCGTGAGCACATGTACGCGATGGCAGGGTTTCTTGGCTCAGCATCTCAGCAGGTGTGGTTGCTATGCACAGTTCAACACACAATTCTATCGCATAAGCACAAAGACCATCGTACCCGTACGATCACTGAAGCCGAAAAAAAAAATGGCGTGGAAACCTGACAACAGTGAGTAAGATAACTGGCAATTGCTCTCCTATATAGACAAATTTAAGAGTTTCAGTGTCTGGCAAATGGCACGCATGACTAATGGATCTGCTCTTCTGCCTCGCGCATCGAGTGTACAAGTTTTGTTTGTTAAAATGCTAACTTTCTTTTTCTTATCTTTTTTCCAGATTGCCATATAGGTGTCTGGTATAAACTGTGCTTACATGTACTGGTCATGCTTGTCGTCCGTGTTTACCGCGAAGTATATACGTCAATCATGAATCACCAACTGGCCTAAGCAAATAAAGGCCTTACAGATAAAGGCCTTATTCATGCCGGACATACGGGTTCCACCTGGGATTTACGGCTGCGAGTTACAGATGTATCACTTGTGCCTTGTCCTGATTTAGATGATATGCTGTCCGCCTGGTCAGTCGGTAAATCCCCACCGCACTTTGTGTTACATTGAGTGTTTACCTGTTCAGTCATCGTGTTCTAATCGGCTTGTTGTGGGCTTG